CTGGGTCACACCTCAGACCTTTCATCATGAAAATGCAGCTAGAGTTCTGAAACAAAAAGGGAAAAGAAACCAGCGACGACCTCATCCTGATCTACCGGTCCTAGCAATGTAGGAAGTACTGTGGGGTTGGCCCAGAGGACAACCAGGAGAGGTGATCCCCCAAGGAAGTTCTGTTTTGCATAAGTGTCCATCTACCTCTAGCCTTTGTTCTTGAAGAAGAGCAGATGCTCTGTGTAAGAAAAACACAGTTTTAAAGAGGTCAAGAGGAGAAACGGGAAAATCCTGGACTTGAGTCATAGTACCCCATTGAAATCCTGAATGCCCTGCTTTGTATCCTTGAACAAATCACTTAACGTCTGTGAGGCCCAGTATCTCCTCTGTGAATGGGAGAATATCAACTCAAGAGGTTTGCTGTGATCAGTAAGGAAGATAACATGCTAAAGCACAGAAGTACTGAACAAATAATGAAAGAGGATTGGGACATGGGATATATTAAAGACAGAACAGAGAGCATACTGTATGCATACGGTGCAAAAAAAACCAGTCATGCATTCCCCCTTTAACTTTTTCAGTGGATACATGTGTGAAAGCTGGGGCAGGAGAGGGGTTTCAGACAGGGAAAATACTGAGGACTTCCCTTTCCCTTACAGAGCTGATAGTCGGGCTGGGAGATGAGGCTTACAGAACTGAAGGCCTGAGCCAACCAAATCCCTAGAATTCTAGTTGTTGGTGCCGTTATGAACAAGGGAAGCCAGAATGGAAGACCCCTGTCTTTCACTCCTGAGAGTCTAGGATTCTAAAAAAGCAAGTTTTTATGGAAGCTTTGTTTCTTGGCCTGGCCCTTGAAGAATGGCAGGATTAGGATGTGACCACTGGGGGAAAGTGGGAAAGCCCAGGCAATTGGACAGGGTCAGATTATGACAGGCTGAGAAACTCATCAGCCCACTTAGTCTTGCTCTGGTTGGCCTTGGGGGCCATGAAGGTTTTTAGTCAGGGAGTATCCCCTTGCAGATAACTTGTGACAGTATGGCCTCGTAGCAGTGAATGGTGAAATTAAAGGAGAGGAGTGGCTGGGGACTAGAAGGGGACAATGGCAGGATGGGTGGCAATCGGCCTTCAATCACGCCTCTGAGAAAGTCTCCAGGGCTTATTCATGTCTCCCTCAAAACATCTCACCCCCGTCCCTCTCTAAGTTCTATCATTCATCTAAGGAATCAGTTTTCCAGCTGGACTGCCTAGAAGATGGGTACCCTTGACAGAGGCACAGAAGTTGAAATGGATCACTAGTTTGATTGAAGATCGCTAATAAATCTGGTTTTTGACATGTTGGATTTGTGGAAATGGCTGAATGTTCAGGTGGAAAAGTAAAGTTGAACTGACTTTTTCAACATGACTGGAAGTGACTTTTCTAGTCAAACAACATGAAATTGTAAAGTCTAAACAAAATCAGATCAGGTTAAAAAAAGAAAAAATTGAACATACTCTGTCAACTCTTTTTTGAGGTGTAAATGACTACATGGGAAATGAGTATATTTGCATAGTTTGTGTTTTCTTCAGCTGGGAGAATGATAAATGGGATTGTGGTAGAAGTGTTGTAGTGTTATATAAGTTTGTTAAACCAAAATAAAAATAAATGAGTAGAGACTGGAAAATGCTGTATATGTGGGTATTTTCGCTTTTGGGGGTGATTTGAAAAACTCTTATGTCTGTTATGTAACTGGATTCTATGAAAGGATTTATGACCAACATACAGGATTCTGGGATGGTTCTAAGCAGTATCTTTATTATTTGGACGGTAAAGAGGCTTTTAGAGGGGATACATAAAAGCTGGAGGGAAAGCCTCACCAGACTTCTGGGCTTCTGATGTCGGTCATGAGGGACAATTTCTTCATAAAAGAAGAGACCTGAAGATGTTTGCCCTGTATCTCAAATAATGGCGTATCTCTCATCCCCCTATCGTTTTGGTTTCTCTGCCTTTATTTTTATCTCCCCCCTCTACTGAAAACAACTATAAAGCAGTAGTTATGAAAGGGTTATGAAACTTCTATTTGAGGCAGAGATGATAATGTGGTTTGGGAGGGAAGGGAAAAAGGACTAAATATAAAAGTAACTCTAAGCTGTTAAGAAAGAGATCATTAATAGCAACATCTTGATTTTGTTAAGAGGCAAGCTGAAGCCATCCGAAACAGGCAGGGAGCAAGGTGATAAGAGAAAATGTGTTTCTCAGACAAAGGAGCCGACAGCAGGGGACAGCAGTTCAGGCAAAGCGGCCAACGTTAGGGAGAGTGTGCAGAGAGGATATGCTAATCCCTCTGAATCATACTGGCAGAAGCATAGGCTGTTTGAACTCCTTGGCAACTTAAACCTGGTCTCAAAGTGGATTGTGAGGAATGAGAACAAAAGAAAAGTTCACTCTGAGTTCCTCTTGTCAGAGCAGGGGAAATTGCTTTGAGGCCAGCACTCAAAGATGCTAATGGTAGAAACAGAATGGAGTAAAAGAGGAAAAAAAAATCAGGTCGCTGGGAGCTTGCCTGGCATTAAGTGAGATAAAACCACCACTGATGAGACATTCAGCCGAGGTCCTACCACACACTGCTGGGCCAGTCACTTCTAACCAGTGCTCAGCTGGCTAAAATGAAAGATAATGCCTCAACGGCTCTGAGAACATCTGTGCACTTGACAACAGTAACTGACCCCTCACTATGTCAGCAAGGACATTGCTCTTAATGCTGGAAGGTGCAATAGCCCTTCTCTCCTTGCACCAACTGGTTTTGTGAGTGAGAAGAGACTGCTGGAGAGTGAGTACTGGGCAGCCACTGCTGCCCCTGGAAGAGCACAGTTCAGCAGAAAATAGGGTAAGATGTAGGAGAGCCAAAGTGGGAACTACAAAGAAATGTGTCTGTGTAAACTCCTTTAAGAGGAAAGACACAGCAACTGCTATTCTTTTTCTCCAGGCTTAACAGTTCTCATCCATAAAATATGTTGAATAAGACGATGGAAGCATACCTTCCCTTGGGCAGATTTAGAATGGTTCTGGGAGTTATCTGGGGATCAGGCCATGGAGTTGGGATGACATAGGGATTAGCTGCAGGACCAAGAAACGATAGGTGCTTTTTCTATGTATTCTGATGAGTCATTGAGAAATTTAGAAATGCTAAAGATGCCAAAGCCTTCCCTTCAGATTCCAAACCAAAGGCTGCAAACTAGGTGTACCTAGGTTTTGTTTGGCTGGCAAGAGTATTTTTTAAAAATTGATCTAGCATTTGAAAATTCTGAGACTTAACCTGAAAATCCAGATTTTTGGCTTCTCTGAGAAACTGGAAGATCTGACAGCACTGGGCACACAAAGCAGCAATTAGCAGAGGTGGGTAGCAGCTGTCCCATTTAGGTGGGATGCCTGCTCTCTAGTTTGACCGTGTCTACCACTCACATTAGGGTGACTGTAACTTGTTATCCAAACTAGAGCACTTTTGAGAGTAAAAGGGGGTACTGTTAGTAACTATGTCTGGACCCCAGATATAAACCAGGTCTGTTGGGGGCAGTGAGGACGTATTATTACCCTAATTCACGTTGCTGACACTGGGCTTGCTTTTCTTCGTTGCCCACTGCTGTTTAGGTTATAGCGTCATAAATCAGATACTCTCATGAGGAAGAAGGGAAGGAAAAAGATATAAAATGATGAAGAGACCTGAAAGTAGGAAAAAAAAGAAATGACAAAGAGTATTAAAATGAATGCCAATTACACCAAACCAAGTAAAGGCAGAGCGTTGCTGGTGGCTGGCTCAACATGTAAGTTTGACCTTCCCGGCTTCCTGCCCTACACAGCATTGTCAGTTTTAATAAGCTGTGATCCCGTAGCTATGAGTGAGACTAATCAAACTGCAGAGGCAGCCTGTTCCTAATCAGGAAGGCACAGGATAATCATTTAATTCTGTGGTTTCTCAGTGAGCTCCAAGCTGCCTCAATAGAAAAAAAAATCCTAGATAAGACAGTGGCTTACATACTCTAATCTTGACCTTTTGATGGTCTTTATTTGAAATTTTTATTAAAATGCTTTAATTACACAAATATTTGGTTTTAAATGTTTTAGAAGAATCTTTTCCCTTTTTCCCAGAGAACAATGGAATAGCCCCTCCTGCAAGGTGTACAGGAAACCTCAGACCCCTGTGGGCTACCTGAGTCTACTTGAACTGACCACAGCCCCAAACCCTCTCAACACCACTCAGATGTCAGTACAGTCCCCACCCTGGGGGCAGGGTGGATTTGGGGATATGGAGTGGCAACTCATGCTGAGCACCTACAGACCTAGAGGTGCCAGTGTGGTAATGTGGGCTATGCAGCCAGTGCCAGTGACTCCCCAAGGGGTGGGAGCCAAGGCCAGGCTGCAGCAGAGCTCCAGAAGCACCTGATGCCTCCAGACCAGAAGGCTGCTCTGCTCAGTCCTTGCTGCTCTTAGCTCCTTCAACCCAGGAACAAGGCATAAGAAAAAAGCTACTTTGCACAAAGGTCAACTGTTGAGTTTTAGTCAGACGGGGCTAAAGTCTAACCTGGGAGCTGACTACTGGCAGGCCCAAAATACTAGACCTTCCAGAAATTCCTGGTAGGCCCTCAGACAGGCTACTCAATCTTCCTGAACCTCTGTTCTTACATAGGAAAAATAATATCAACACCTCACAGCCATGCTCTGCAGGTCAATGACATAAACAGGGAAAGCATTAACAAAGGTGCCTGGCACATTACAAATGTTCCATAGATTGTCATTATTTTTATTATGTGCTAACATCGCCTTAAGGCACCCTAATTATATAATTTAAAAGTCAGGTGCATCACTGAATCTCCTGCTTGGATTCTGAACTTAGTGTGAATGCACTTAAAACAATGACTACAGATGGAACAAATGTAGAGAAAATTTTTTCCAATGGAGCACATTTCTGGTGCCATGGAAACTTAATATTTTGATTAATAGACTCACTACTCTTTATTGTAAACAAGAGTATATATTTTTTTAATTAAAAACGTTTATTGGCTATTGATTTTGATATATTTGCATTAAAGAAAAGAAACATTTTTTCAAATGTGCTAATAAGAAAATGACCTTATTCCAGAATGTACTAATAGGAAAAATGGATGATGCTGGGAAGAATATTCTATGTTTTGAACACAGATAAAACTCATAAATTTTATCTGGACTCTAGGATATTTACTAGTAGTCCTCCACCAATGGGTTTGACATTCAACAGGAATATAAACATATAAACAAGCCCAATCCAGTATATTTCAAAACAGTCAGATCCTTGAGAACAGAAACTCTGTCTTTCACAAGTACACTTACCATTCACAGAGGAAAGGTTATATGTATCTTATTGCTATAACTATTAATAAAAGAAGACCATCTAGATGGGCACCCAACAGATAAAAATACAGTAACCACATAATAATTAAAAACAATGTTCACTAATGCCCACTAAAAAGAACAAACAGCAAAATATAGCACAAGAATGTAAAACAAATATCATTCACATTCTTACCATCAAAATACTGGCATCTTTTTGGTCCTGTTGTTGTTTTTATAAAAACTATGTGTGTACACATGCGTGTCTGTGTACCCTTACAGAAAATTTGACAAATATAGAAAAACACACAGAAAAAAATCACCTGTCATGCCACCAACACAAATGTCACTTTGGTGAGAGTAGAAAAACTCAGAACCAGAAATGATCTGAGAAGCTCTTCCCAGCCTCAGGAACGCTGATGCCAGTTCACCCAACAGTTGCAAAATCCACAGGCCAAACTTCTTTTTAGGCTCTCAAATATCTCTACTGTTGCCTGACTCCCAGTTCCACTGCATTTTTTTTATCAGGCCAATAGTTATCAATAAACAAGGACACATGTAAGGCTAAGACCCTGAACAAATTTTTGTTCCCAAATTAGAGCTGGATGGAATCTTACAAGTTCATTTAGGCCTATCCACCACGCCTGTCTCTGTTTATCCAGGAGGAAACACTCAGGGAGAGGGCAAGTGATGTGCAGAACGACACCTAATCTCCTAACTGGCAGACCACGGCTCTGTCCAAGGGAGCACATGGTGAAGGAATCTCCCCAAGTGACAGGGCTACAGTTACTATGTGGTTACTGTTAATGAGCCTGAGGGCAGACAAGAGTGGATCTGTAAAACCAAACGAAAGCAGCTAGGCAAACTTTTGGTTCCTAAAAGGCCATTAATTGCATTGACTCCTAGGGGAAAGGTCACAAATAGACCATGTGGTCAAATGCAGGGAGTATGCCCTGGGCCAGCTGACCACAGGGCCAAGTGGGAGCCCCACATTCCACAGAGAGGCCAGACTGGGGCAATCACAGAGCCTCTCTGACCAAATGCACTGCCGGGCAGCCTAGAAGGCAAAAGGGTCTGAAAGTGGCCCCTGAGAACACAATGATTAAAATCAAACTCTTGCATCAGTCAATTCCTTCTCCAGTCAACAGGTACGTGTCCAGAGGTCACGTTACTCACAACCAATCATCTCCCTTCAAGAAGGAATCCAATTCAGTGAACCCTCAAATTCTCATCACCTCTACTTCAAGGTTGTCTCTTCACATTGAAAGCTTTCAACGTTGACTAAAGGAGTTACCATAGCAATATTAAAGGTCACGGTTCAATTTTCCTGATCAATACAGGTTTTAAGTCTCCAGAAGAAATCTCCTTAGCATCACTTGCACAGTTCCTTGTTTGTATAGACCTTATTCTTAAATATCAATGACTAAAACAAAAATCGTTTCTTCTCCTTTTCCCACATTCTGACAATTGTACGGGCTCCAGGTGAAGAGTCAGATGGCCGTGTGCCAGGTCTCATGACACCTGCCTGTGGATGACCTCTTTCAACTGTGCCAGTTTGTCACTTTTCAGTGCTTCCCGGATGGAGAGGAAAAATCCAAAGTAGTGTTCAAAGTTGTGCATCATAAGCAGGACCCCAGCCAACAGCTCATTGGTCACCAGCAGGTGGTGTATGTACGCGCGAGTATGATTCTTACAGCAGTAACAGGCACACCCTCTCACAAGTGGATCAAAGTCTTCCCGGTACCTGAGAAAGGCAGTCACAGTGATATTCCAGACAGTGAATGAGGAATACATAAAATCCACAACCTAGACTCTACTCTGCTGTGCATAGCCAATAGTTAATAATGTCTCTGGCAAATATAGTGCCGAGCACCTGCTTCAGACGGCAATGTGATCAAAAGCTGACAGAGCACAGTGAGCCAGGAGACTCAGGAGTCTTCTGCTGGGGGATACACCTTCTAGATTGACACTTACAAAGGAGCATCAAAAGAATCACATGGTCACTCCCTCAAGCTGAGCACTGTTAGTCACACTGGAAGGGCACACAATGTTAGGAAATGCTGTTCTGATGAATGGCGCTTGTCTTCCCTCCACCACCAGACTTAGTACCAGAAGACGTGGTAGACCTTTCATAGCATAGCTTTTTGCACTTTGCAAAGCACTTTTATATACACAGTCGCATTTAATCTTTACAGCCCCCTTGGAGATAGGCATTGTAATAGTCATTTTACGAATGAAGACCTCTAAGCCCCCTCAAGGTGGGCTCCAGGGTGCAATGCCTGGATTTGATTCCTGGTTCACAACTACTTGGGCAAGTCATTTAACTTCCCTCTATGTCTTTGTTTTCGCATCTGTATTGGTAAGAAGGTAGTAATGGTACCTACTTAGTACAGGTGTTGCAAGAATTACATGAGTTAATACAGTAAAGGGTTCAGCAACTGCTCGGCACATACTAAGCATGTTACCTTTATCAGCTATTGAAAAGAAGTCAAATGACTTGATCAAGGTCACATAGTCATGGGCAGTCTCCAGAACTTCAGGTCTAGTACTGATAATAAGAAAACTACAATTTCCAGTTAAATCTATAATGTAAAGAGAACTTAATCATCTATATCACCCTAGCACTTTAAAAAGAAAATAGATCTCCTTGGCAATTTCTCAATAAGTTAAATGTGGTAAACATCACCATTTTAGGCCTACAATCCAGAAGCCCCTATAGAATATAGATAAGAACTAGGATTTCCATATTCTTTCATATATTTTCAAGTCTGTACTGTATTACTACATAGACATAAAGAAGTCTGAATCCCTAGTATGTTCCTTTACTTAAGACCAAAAACATCCCAGGAAGAAAGTATAGGTCCCAAACTCACAGCAAAGCCATTCATTGGATCACTGATTATTACCACTTTGGGCCAAATACAAACTAAGAAACTAATCTTAGCTCATTCTTTATAGGGGCAAATATGTTATTTAAAATTTATAATCTGTATATATTAAGACTTAAAATTTGAAGATGTTGTTTTATCTTGACATCCTTATTTTGCTCTGTCATTCAGTCGGAAGGAGTACAAGACACCAAACAATGACTTGGTCTAGTCTTTCTGCCAGCTCTTCTAAAACAATGGTTATCCAGCCTTAGTTTTCTGACAAGACAAAGTACACAAATTCATCTGCAAAAAAAGACAGTTTTCTGGAACCGATTTTGGGAAGGCCCTATTAATACCCAACTCTATTTTATGAAGACAAACTGAAAAGGGAAGTTATGTAACTTTTAAAACAGACTGAAATTTAAAAGTCAGAAATCAAAATCTAAAATTCCTTACCTTTTTTCCTTCAGATTAATTTCAAATGATGTCATTTCTTGGCTGCAACTGGTTGTTTTAATTTTCTTTGTTTGATCCACATATTTTATTTCTTCCTGTGTCCCATTTTGTTGTAATACTGAAGGACAAACCAACAAAAAGTCTTGAATGAAGATCAGAAAAAGAGAGGCCATTGGGGGAATTTTATTTTAGCTACTACTTCATGCCCTTTAACCTTACAATTCCACTCCTGAGAATTTATCCTAAGGAAATGACACAAGAAAAGAAAAATAGCAATATGTACCAAGATGAACACTGACCTATTATCTATTAATATCAAAACTTGGAGATTCAACAGTATCTAAGCAAACTATGGTTATAAGTATATAACATATACTCTTAGTATCAAGGAATGATTTTTAAAAACCAGTTAGGGTGTGTGTGTGTGAGAGACAGAGAGGGAGAAAGAGAAAGGGAAAGATAGAATTAATGCGTGTGTGTGTTGGAGTTATGTCTCATCACAATTGTACATGCAAATGAGGCTTTACAACTGTCTATGTTCCAAACAGATTAAAAGCAGAATATGGCTTTAATTTATATATTCTGTATGGAGACTCTGGCCCTCCAGGGAACTCAGATTATCCAGAATTAAATGGGTACTTGAGTTGTTCCCTTGAACTGTTTGCTTTAAGAACATTCCTGGAATTCTAAGAGAAACACCAGTTACTTATGCAAAGAGCCAGCTGCCCTGAACAGGGGCAAATAGGTAAGCATTTCTGGGAACAAGCAACAACAATCCCAGGGTTAGTCCAAGAAAAATGGGCAGTGATAGGAAGGTGATTGTGTCCAGGTCCAAGGAAAAAGAAAAGTGACCCTGGCATCGAGCACAGGGCTGTTACAGTTCTGCTGCCATGAAATTACATGCTAATGCAGAAAACCATAATAAAGTCCTGGCATTCTAAAAAGTCCTTGTCACTAGGGGAAATTGCTGCCTATATTAGATGACTTGTTCCTTTGAAATTTACACATAGTAACTCACAAAGGACTTTCATCTACTATACATGCACACAAATATGATTAACAATACCTGAATTAAAATGTTCAAACTATTTAGTTTTCCTAATCATGAAGAAATGGCTTTTTTCTGGCCAAAAACAGACTTGTTTGTTCCAGAGAACTCAGTATCGGTTTTTTTAGGGGGTTTTGCATATTCATGGTACAGAATAACTAACAGCTACCTATATCCTGGTAGAAATAATTAAGCTTGTAAATAAAGACTACAAACAATGATAAAGTGTTTGGGGTATGCCTAGCCACAAATATTATCTGGTCTGTGTAAAGGACAGTAAAACTGACCTCCTGTATATAAGAATTTGACCAATCTGATTTATTGTTTCCAGAAGTAATTCAATTTAGATTAATGGATAAGTTGCTTTATAAAACTATGAAGTATATATATGCATATATATCTTCTAAATGAAATTTAGTAACTTGTGATAAACCTTTAAAGGCGTCTACAGGCCTGCTCAAATTTAAGGTTGGCAGAGATAGAGGAAGAGTTCAAAGAACAGCAGGAAAAGGGAAAGGAGAGCCCACCTCTGAAGGCCAGAGGGATGACTGGACAGGCAATATTTTCCTGAAATATCAGGTAGATGCTTCAAGGGACCCTAGTTCAAAGTGTGTATCCTAATTCCTTTTCTACTGCCAGTTAAATGTCAGAATCTGCAACTGACTTCCTTCACTTCTGAATAACAAAAAAAAAAAAGGCAGTACTTCAAAGCGCTATTAGTGGAGGAAAATAGCTTTCACATCTCATTGTGTTAAAAAAAAAAAGCACAAGTAACACTAGGATCAGAGGGGGTTGAGATTCCCTGTATTTTAATAGCATGAGGTTTACAAAAAGCAGACACAAACTCTTTTGTGAAAAAAACGAATTAATTTTTACCAGGCAGTTCAAAGGTTTTCTTTTCTTAGATTTTCATCACTATTCACTCTGAACATTCCTTTTCAGGTTGTTAATAGAAAGGGTTTTGTTTTTCTTAGTTCTGCTCACAAAATCACTTCCTAATATTGATGAGCTCCATGTAAAGTATTAAGAACCTGGTTTTGTGTGCCCATATGCCAGGGCATACAGATAAGAAACAAAAATGTAGTTTTATGAAAGGCTGGCATTACAATATGCACATACTTCTGGCTTGTGACTCGGGCCAAAAATTAATAGGAAATAGAAGAAACTTCAGGATAACACAAAAATTAACTTCAGGAGACCTACGTTTCTCTTCAGGATTTGGCTGGTAATCAAAGCTGAAAGTCAAGGCACATCCCCGCTCTGTCACTTGATAAGGGAAAAAACTCTCAAATAAGTCCACTCCTCTTTCAATGCACTCGAGCACCTCATCTGGCCGGCTAATGCCACAGATGATCCTGTAAAAGTAACATTAAGAACAGGGACATGAGGATAAAGCCAGGAATGAAACCAGAGTGTTTCCAGAGGACACTAACAGTAATAATAAGGAAAACCACCAGTCATGGTTAGTGTGGCAGACTGAAGATAAGTGTAATGGAAAGAATATACAGCCTTTGAGGCAGAGACCTGGGCTAGAATCCCAGCTGTGCCATTTATTAACGTCTATGTTATTTTGGGAAGGGTTTTTAACCTCTCTGAATTTCAGTTTTCTCATTAAAAAAAAACCAATCATAATAATACATACCTCACGGATTTACTGTGGGAATTAATGAGATATTTGAAAAAGAACATTGTGTAGTTTCTGTTCCCAAAGAGGAGCTCAATAAGGGTTAGTTTCTTTTCCTCTCTCAACCCTTCTGAACAAACCCCCTATTCTCAAACTGAACTTTATAGCCCATCTATCCACTATATACAGTTTTCAAGAGTACAAAGCTGTGTACTTTATTTCCCCCTCAAATATTTTCCATGTTCTAACTGTATTTTGCCTAAAGTTCTTTTTTATAATTGGTTCAAGAAAGACATTTTTATCTACTGTATTCCTCATAGATCCATTTACAAAGCACTCCTGCTCTCAGAATTTCAGCTCTGCCTATAGGATCTAAGAATGTAGTTGTCTTTCTGTGTGCTTATATTTTCACACAGTGGAATGAGATGGTATTTTCAGAGGTAATTGTTAAGGCATTCTGAGTGTTAGTTATACTCAAGCAGGTTTTGCCACTAAAACAAATGAGAGATGTACTAGATCAGGGCTTGCTGGCTGGCTGCTATTTTTTGTTTGTTTTTTACCCATAGTCCCTTTTATGAACTGGCAGAGAAAAGTTTACAGACACCCTGATTTCTAAAAGAAGTCCAAAAAAAGGCTTATGCAATATTAACCAGAAACTTTAGATATATCTATGCCAGTTTTTCAGACTCCAGTTTCCTTCAAGTGATGTAATGTTTTATAACTCTACTCCAACTGAAGCTGGCATTTCTATACACTTAGAGAATGAAAAAAAATCCCAGCTTTCAAATCCAGTAAGACATCTGTGAGCACTTAAAGAAGTCCAGAAAATGACTAGAAATACTAGTGTACTATTATATGCACTAGAATGAAATAAACATAGAAGAGGAAGCAACGAATCCAAGAAAACTAGGATAATACTGGGAAGCAAGTGCTGGCTAGGGTGATGGAAATATCGTGTCCTGGCTGATGTTTACACAGTCATATATATGTATAAAAGTTCATCAAGACTCACACACTTCATTGCAAGCTATACCTGGATTTTTTAAAAAGATTAAAATTACATATACTGTACACTATCCAACAGCCTGAGGGTTATAAAGCAGTACCCCATAATCACACATCTTTATATATCTGTAGGAAAAAAGCGTGAATGTTCACACCAAGTGGAAAGACTAGGTTTTTTTTAAAAAAAAAAAAAAACTTTGGGTAGTCTAGTAAGACATCAGCTGCACTCAGTAACTTGGGATTTAGCTTTGAATCTTGCAGATCATCTTACACCAGTACATAGTGAATCCTATGACTTATAGACAGAAACAACCTCTTTAGTGTTGCCAATCCCCTCAATTTCAAAAAAAAAAATGACACCACTCACCACCCACCTCACATCTAAGACCTTCTTAAAGGTCCTTATTAATAAAGCCCATCTTCATTCTGCTAGGCATTTCACATGTATCTTCAACTTTCCTTGACTAAGGCCAGAGTTCCACATGATTTATACCAGTCCCTAGGTACCATGTTAAAATGCATACTGAATAGTATTTGCATTTCACACAATAATGAGAGAAACAGTATAACACTTGCCCTTACTTACAATGAGGATCAAATAAACTAATTCACATAGCAATGGTCCTCTTGTCTACACTCTGAAATCAAAGTCAGGACAGCCCTAGTGGAAAATGCCCCCACTAAGGCAGACTCAGCCCAGAGAGGACATAATCAAAATATCAAAAGACATGCACATGCATAGACACCGCACAATACACAATCTCCCCCACACCTGTTCTGCTGCCCACAAGGCTTGGCCTGCATCCTAACTGAACACTAGCCTTGGTTTGTCCTCCGGCAGCTCTGCAGTGACTGATGACAGCAAGTGCAGTCTTGATTCCAGGGTCGCTGGATTCCCTTGAAAGCCATCCAGAAGGAAGCCACCCACAGGCCGCTTGGCTGTCTCTCGGGCTGACCTTAGCCTCTCCTCTGTCACGTCTCCCCCTTCAATCACTCCAATGATAGCACTTTTCTGAAGGGCCTAGAAGAGAGGACTGAATGCTAGTCACTGCTTCTGGTAGCCGAGGCCTTTGTGTAAATGAACTTAACATGGAAGAGACAGAAGTGGACAGAAGAGATCTTAGTGAAGCTGCTGCAAATGAAGCCTGGAAGGGAAATGGTGCTCCCTCCTCCCTGAGAACCTTTAGGGCTCTAAAGAACACAATCTGAAAGCCACCCAACTAGGATGAAGAGACTGAGGAGAAACTGAGGCAATCTACATATGAAGTCAGTTTTAGCTTAGATTGAATTAATCACACAATGAGCAGGTACAAGAGGAAAAGGACAAAAGGAATAGTTTTAATTTGTTTAAATGACAATTCAGGCCTGCTTTAGGGTACTTCCAAGTCTCTTAAAGATGACTTTAGGAACTGTGAAACTGGTTGGGACAACTGACCATCCATTTGGGAAAAATAAAATAAAAACTACACTGTGTGCCATCCTCAAAAAAAAATTCCACATGGGTCCAAGATCTAAACAAAAAACAGTTATACAAGTATTAGAAAAATATATTGGATTTTTTCATAACTTTGGGGTAAGGAAGGCCTTCCTAAACAAGTTAAAGCTTACAGAAAAGGCTGCCATATTTGAGTATAAAAACATTAAAACTTCTCTGGTGAAACAGACTATCAACAAAGGCAAAAGACTTACTCTTGGGAAGAAAAGATAAATATCCATACCAGAGAAAAATCTCCAACAAATCCTCTAAGGAAATGACAATCCCAGAGAAATCTAGGTACATATGTGAACATGAACTTCTGAAAAATAAATGTGAATGCCCTGTACACACATGGAGAGCTAACTAAACCTCACCAGTAAGGAAACAGAAATTAGAAACAACTAGATACCTTTATTGCCCATCACACTGACAAAAAAGCTAAAAGACAGATAGTGACATAGTGAAGGTAAAGCTGTAGAGAAATTACACTTATTACCTTGGCAACTAGAGAGTGAAAATTAGTTCAGCCTCTAGGGAGGGCAAGCAAACAACACTTATCAAAATGACATTGCTTTTATCTTTATATCCTAAAATCTCACTTCTAAGAATCTCTCCTACAAATATGTTCATTCATATGCACCAAGGTATATTACAAAGACATCTGGGATAACGAAAAGCTGGAAAACCTAAACATACACCAATAGAGTAAAGGCTTAAATTATGATGCATTCTGGTGGGAGGAAGAGAAATGGAGTGGGGAGGGGGTGGAAACCTAAGACTGCTGAACACCTAGCCTTGGAAATCTGCTTCGTGAGCAGAAACCTATACTGTGTGGTGCTCTGGACGTTGGGGAGCTCAGGAAAAGCAGAGTGCTTGAGAGACTGAGACTCCGGCCACTTGTGGAGGAGGGGATCCACATTTGGCGGCCCTATGTCAGAGGAAAGGCAGGCGATCTGAGAGGCTTCCTAGTAGCAAGAGAGCTGCTGAAGGGGCGCTGTTTGCACGGAGCTTGCTGTGTGGGGGAGAGGAGAGATGGACAAAGTTGTCTGTGCGCCCTCAGCCCAGCTGGTTGCGAAGTTTGAGGAGCTTCAGGCACTCCATGCCCCTGGCTGCCTGCTCAGCTACAAGGCCCCCAACTGTGACATGCAGCCTGCTGCGCCTCCCTCCTGGCCTGCCAGCACCGGCTAGTAAAACTGCAGTCACTGCACTGGCATCAGGCCAGCCAGAAGGAGGCCCCACCTACAACAGCTAGAGACGCCGAGCACAGAGGCTTACACCTGCGTGCTTGGCCCACTGGCTCTGACACTGGAGACAGGCACTGCAGACGGTAATCAGTAAACAGATCTTTCCTCCCCCCAAGCACCAGCTCTGCTCCCCTATGACCCCCAACCTCACTCTAGGGGCTGAGCAGCTACATAGACTAGAGCTTCTGGGCACTAGTGGGCACCACACAGAAATATGAAATGTCAAAAGAACATGGGTAAGACCAAAATCTCACAAATCCCAAAAAAGGGGCCAAATGAAACTGAACTCACCAATCTGCCTGAAAGAGAGTTCAAAATAAAAATCATAAACATGCTTATGGAGATACAGAAAAATACTCAAGAACTCAGGCATGAAATTAAGATGGAGATTCAATCATTAAGAAATTCCATATCTGAAATAAAACACAGATGGAGGGATTTAAAAGCAGATTAGATATAGTAGAAGAGACAGTAAATGGAATGGAAATTAGAGAAGAGGAATACAAAGCTGAGGCACAGAGAGAAAAAAGAATTTCTAAGAATGAAAGAATATTGAGAGAACTGTGTGACCAATTCAAAAGGAACAATATTCATATTATAGGGGTACCAGAAGAAGAACAGAGAGAAAAAGGGATAGAAGTGTCATTGACAAGGTAATTGCTGAAAACTTCCCAATCTGGGAAAGGAAATAGTCTCTCAAGCCATGGAGGTACACATATCTCCCAACACAAGGGACCCAAGGAAGACAACATCAAGACATATAATAATTAAAATGGCAAAGATGAAGGATAAAGGCAGACCTTTAAAAGCAGCTAGACAGAGAAAAAAGACCACAGACAAAGGAAAACACATCAGGCTATCATCAGACTTCTCAACAGAAACCTTACATGCCAGAAGGAAGTGGCATGATATATTTAATGCAATGAAGCAGAAGGGCCCTGAACCAAGGATACTCTACCAGGAAGGTTATCATGTATATTTGAAGGAGCGTTTAAATAATTTTCAGATAAGCAAAAGTTGAGAGAATTTACCTCCCACAAACCACCTCTACAGTGCATTCTGGAGGGACTCCTATAGATGGAAGTATTTCGAAGGCTAAACAGATGTCACCCAAGGGATAGACAAAGAGTACAGAATATGATTCATAACATACAAAGAATAGAGGAGGAAGAAAAAGGAGGGGAAAAAAAAAGAACCTTTAGGTTGTGTTTGTAATAGCATACAAAGTGAGTTAAATTAGACTGTTAGATAGTAAGGGAATTACCCTTGAACCTTTGGAAACCACGAATCTAAAGCCTGCAGTGGCAATAAGTACATATCTATCAATAATCACCCTAACTGCAAATGGTCTGAATGCATCAATCAAAAGACAGAGAGTCACTGAATGGATAAAAAAACAAGACACATCTATATGCTGCCTATAAGAGACTCACTTCAAACCCAAAGACATACACAGACTGAAAGTAAAGAGATGGAAAAAGATATTTCATGCAACTAATAGTGAGAAAAAAGCAGGTGTTGCACTACTAGTATCAGACAAAATAGACTTCAAAACAAAGAAAGTCACAAGACAAAGAAGGGCATTACATAATGACAAAGGGGTCAATCCAACAAGAGGATATAACTATTATAAATATGTATGCACCTAACACAGGATAACCTACAAATGTGAAACAAATACTAACAGAATTAAAGGGGGAAATAGAATGCAATGCATTCATTTTAGGAGACTTCAACACACCACTCACACCAAAGGACAGATCAACAAGACAGAAAGTAAATAAAGAGACAGAGGCACTGAACAGTGTATTAGAACAGATGGACCTAACGGACATCTACAGAACACTCCATCCAAAAGCAACAGGATACACATTCTTCTCAAGTCCACATGGAACATTTTTAAGAATAGATCATATACTAGGCCACAAAAAGAACCTCAGTAAATTCAAAAAGACTGAAATTGCA